CGCCTGGGTTCTCTGTGTCTGCATCTGGGTGAATGGGAGTAGAGATGGTGTGCGTGTGTGTATGAGTGTGTGGCCCGGATGCCTGGGCTCCGTCTGCATCTTGGTGTACAGGGATAAAGGTTGTGTCTCTGGGGGGGGGGGAATGGGGGAGGCTGGTGTGCATGTGTCTGACACCTGGTTGTGTGTGTGTATGATATATAATAGCTACATCGGAGGAAAGGCTGTGTCTGTGTGCACCCCAGATGCCTAGGTTCCCTGTGTGTCTACCTGGGGGTATAGGAATATATATATATAGAGAGAGAGAGAGAGAGAGAGAGAGAGAGAGAGAGAGAGAGAGAGAGAGTGTGTGTGTGTGTGTGTGTGTGAGAGGGAGAGAGAGCGAGAGAGAGAGAGAGCGTACTCCTGTGTGTATAGAATTGCATGTGTGTTTGTGTGTGGAATTGCTAGTGTGTGTGAGGTGGGTCTAGAAGTTGGGGGGGCATCTTGGACACCTGGGTTGTGTAGCTGTGCATGTGTGTACGTGTGCCCCAGGTGCCTGGGTTCCCTGTGCATGCATTTGTGAGTGCGTGGGTCTCAGATGCCTGGGATGTGTGTGTGTGGGGTGCCCAGACACCTGGGTCCCATATATGTGTGTGTGTGTGGGGGGGGGGGGGGGCAGGGTAGGTTTGGGTCCAGAGACTGCATCTGTGTGTGTAGGGGGTATAATAGTGTATGTGTGCGCACACAGATTGTGTTGTCTGTGTGTGTAGTGGTTTAGAGATGGTGTGTCTGTGGGGGAGGGTGTGTGCATGTGCATGTGCCTGTGTATGTGTGGGTGCATGTGTGCATGTGTGTGTGTGCTTCCCAGAAATGTGTGTTGATATGGAAGTTGTTGGGGGGGGCAAGTGTGTGGGTGTGGAGATGGTGTATCTGAGAACCCCCAAGATGCAGCCACATACACGCACACACACACGCACACGCACACAGACGTACACACTGAATCTCCACCAACACCCTGCCGAGACACAGCCACAAGCGCGTGCACACACATACACACCAGACAGAGCATAGTAGTGTGCTTACACGCTCCACAGACACGTACACTCACACACACTGTCCCTGAGATACAGCCCCCCCCACAGCTTGAATCTGCACCCACACACACACAGACACCAACACCCACCTTGAGAAAGAGCTCCACATGTGCACACACTTTGACATGTGCCAGTCACACACTCAGTGAGCACAAAGCCTAGTAGGGTGCTCTCTCTTGCACACCCACATGGTCCCATGGTGTCTCTCTTGGATGGACGTGTGGCTGGAGGGATGGATGTGGGTTATGGAGCTAGATGGATGGATTTGTTCATGGGATGGAGGGGGTTTGTGGAAATGGCTGGCTGGCTGGCTGGAGCTCAAGGGATGGATGGGTGGGTGAATGGAGGATGGGCTGGTTCATTGCAGGGATGGAGGAATGGATGGAGACGTGGATAGAGGGATGGGTCCATGGAGGGGTGGACGGTTGGACTGGTTCATTGGCTGGACAAGCAGATGGATGAGATCAGCAGATGGATGGATGGATGGAGCAGTGTAAAAGTAGATGGAGAGACAGTGGGGCCTGGCTGCATGGACGGATGCTCTCGGGGGGTGGATAGAGGGATTGGGGAAGTGGATGGGGCGGAGGGTGGAAAAGTGGCTGGACAGATGGTGCAGTGTCTGGCTGGAGGGACGCAGGAGGTGTGTGGGGATGGAGGGACGACACGGTCTCTGCTTGGAAGAAGGGATGCACGGAGCCGTCTCTGGATGGACGGACGGGCAGACAGACAGATATAGAAGGTGTATGGGATGGATGGATGAGGGTCGGGTGGGTGGACGAAGGGGTGCACGGGTGGTTGGGTGAGCGCGTGGACAGGCCATGCAGGATGGATGGATGGAGGGATGGACAGGCCCGGGGATGACTGTCTATGGAGATGGAGGGGTGGGGGGACGGGGGAACGGACGGACGGACAAAGGGGGTCTCTGGGGATGGACAGAGTGACAAAGGGGGCGATGGAGGGATGGACACACGGATGAGTGCGGATCGCCGTCCCGTCCTACCCCTGTCCCCTCATCTGCCCTCACCCACCGCATCCCTCCCTCCCACCTCCGTCTCCCCCTTCTCGTTCGTTGGCCTGCATGGCTCGGCTCGGCTCGGCTCGGACGCTGGGGCTGGGCGCCTGGGTTCTCCGGGAGGCCGCAGCGCTGAGCCGGCTGCACACACTGATGCGGCGCCGGAGCTTTTTTTAGCTCAGTGCTGTGACGCTCCTGGGCCCTTCTGGCACTGGCGCGGCGGTGCGGGAAGGGCACGGGGGGCTGCCCGGATGTCTGGGTCCCCATTAATAGCTCCTTCCCCTCAGGCCCCCCCAGCCTCTCCTCACCCCAGAGAACCCAGGAGTCCAGGCTCCCAAACCCCTGCTCCCACCCCAGGGAACCCAGGTGTCTGGGTTCCCAAATCCCTTGCTCCCACCCCCCACCCCAGAAAACCCAGGTGCCTGGGCTGCTCCCCCCCCACTCCCAAGAAGGATCTTCTTCCCCACCCTGCTCCTTTAAATATTTAAATGAGGCCTGGCAGTCCCGGGCAGGGAGGGG